CACTGCCAAGCGCAGCATTGCTCCCCACAGCTTCGAAAGCGGAGGTTGGGGAATCCAGAGATGAGCTGAGAGCCAAATGCTGGAACCGGACCGTTCACTGCAACTGCTTTGCATGCTTTGAGTACCACTGGCGCTCTACAAACCCTCATGTTGGTGCTTTAGATGCTTTAGTCCACCAACAAATTGGAACAGAATCGACTTAGACGATCGCACATGGCAGATCCTTGAATGCTTGAACTAAAGCAAATGCCGCCGCTCCAACTCTGCCATCTCCCAAGGCTTTCTCCCTGATCTCTCCGAAGGCTTTGATTTTCTTTTTCCTCTTGCGACATAGGAGGCTTGATCGCATCAGAATTATGTTGAAGATCATGCTCCGCTGGAGTGCATCGTGCAGCTGCTCGTTCGAGCATGGCACATGTTTGAGTTTCGACGCAAAAAGACAGTTTCAGGCGTTAAACCATTAAAGATTTGCGGGAGCCGGCGAGAACAAACAGATTGTTTCCGCAGACACCCTCTCAAGCTGCGCTGGGCAGCTTGCAGCTTGGAAGCAGTTTTTAGAAAGATACCGAAGGCTGAGCCCCAAGAAACATAAACCCAATATGGAGGCATGGTGAAAAAACAAACATCTGAAAGAAATACCGTTTGTCCAAGATCAATCTTCACCTCAATCGGCGGCCCAACAAACCGCCAGATTTCGGTTGTGGTTCCCAACCTTCCTACTGCACCAAGCAGTCGCCCAACTTGCTGCCTTCGCGTACTCAAACCAGGGTGGCTCCCAAGACACTCACCCTGCACCGACAAGAGAAAGGAAAGCTACAAACAGCATTCATAAGCTATACCGTACTTACTTCTCATTCTCTACTGGGCGCCACCCCGAGAAAAAGATCTCTGGCGGTGGGAGAAGCTATTTTCTCGCTTCGCATGGCCCTAGGTGAGCTTTTTGACCAGTTGGATCACGGTGAAATCCCGATTAACTGCTCGATTCTTTCAATCCCCTGCTACCCAGGACCATTTCAGAAAAAAATCACACCGTGGCGGTCTGAGTGACCTCCTCTCGAGTCACCTCTGAAGGCTCATTCGTCTCCTTCTCCTGGGCATCGTAACTTGATGAGCTCCTGAAATCAGTTCCACACTCCACACGATCTGCATTGAGAAGTGTGAAGAAAATCAGACTTCTAATTTGGCTGATGAGATCTGATGAGGTTCTGACTGGAAATGCTTAAGATCAAGTTCCGAAAAGAGTCCTGTTTGGGAATACTCGCAAGAAACGTGGTTCAACAGGGTGTGCAACGGTCCAAAACCACCCCCTGCACTCTAGCTACTCCCCACGACTATTAGCGTATCTTCCGTTTGGTTTTAGTTTTTGGTGCCCACATGTTCCTTCAAGGCCCTGAGTCCTGAAGGTGCGTGTTCCGGTCGCGATGCGCCGGGAGGAGCTCTTGCGCATGCTGCCGTTCTGGCTAACGACCATATTCAAGTCATCAGCCAAAATGTGGATCGCACGAGTGATGGTGCCAATGTCATATGTTGAGAGATTGCTCAAGTCCTTGATGAAGGTCGCCTCCTTGCCTTGTCCATCTTCCTTGAGGAAAGTCGCCACGTCCAGGAGACTTTGAAAGACATCCTTCTCTTGTGGGACCTTGCCCAGGTTCATGATGCGCAATTCCTTTGAACTGCCCAGCGCCGAGCGGTAGATGAGAGCGGTCAGGCCAAGCATCACCATCCCTCCGAGGATGACGACCATCAAAGAGGAGATGACGGTGCCGAAGAGAGATAGAACACGTGCAGCGTCTTCCCCGCTGCTGTCGGCATATCCAAGCGACCCTGCCAAAAGCATCACGAGGAGCGACACTGACAATCCATCGACCAGGTTCAGGATTGGGGACTTCCAAGGCAGGAACCACAATTGAACGCAAAAAGATCCAAGCAGAATCATGTGCATCAGCGTAAGTTGCCTGGGCTGCACAGTTTTGGGGCGGTATCATGTGCGATCGGTGGGTATTGTTGAATTCTCATGGCAACCTCATCAAGTAAACATCCAAAAGAACCTCTCACCGGTCCCACTGGGCTGCAGAGTTACAAGCTGGGCATGTTGGTCGCGATCACACCTGGCATGGACAGCAAGGGTCCTCGAGCCAAGAGGACCAAGCCAAAATACCATACGTTGGGCCGGAAGCGGAAGATCAAGAAGCGAATGGCCGCCAGCCTGGCTAGCAACTAAGCTCAACAAATACCCCTCAGCATGGTCGTGGGAGAATGAATCTCTGGCTCAAGCGCAGCAGTTCACCAGCAAAAGCATTGAATGATCTAGCTTTAAAGACATGTCATCATCAGAGGCATCACTGATGGAGTATTAATAAGGTGCCAGTAAAGGGTCGCATTGGCAGAGTCACACCACCAGGCCTTGGTTTGCCAGACCACCTGGGCGCTTGATAGGCCGCATAGCAAGCTGCTGAGAAGAACGTGAAGGCCAACAAGATCACCAAAGCTCCAAAAACCCGCATGATCACCTACGTGGCTTGTCATATTCGATGGAAATACAGTACTCAATTATGGTTTCTATATGTTTCTATGGTTTATCGATACCAGAGTGGTGTGCAACGGTGTGCAAGTGAACCACATGGCATGTGGCTTGAAGCTCCGCGACTTGGAACTCATCAGAACCCAACCAAGAACCAAGGTCCCCCAGTTTTGACCCGCCATGTCAAAAAGCTGACTGTTTCTCTTCAAAGCGCGTGGTCATCAGTGCGGCAGAAGACATTCGGGTACTTCAAGATGCTCGATTGACCGGTAGGATGTCGATAGCACATGAACGGCATGAGGCCGACATTGCACATGGTTGTGAAGCCGACCTGCAAGAATTGCCCCGTCGTACTGATGGTCTTGTTCTTCTCCCACGCTAGCTTTCGGCGCTTCAGAATTGGAATGAAGTTCGTGAGCAAACCAACTGTGGGCAGCGCAAGAAACACTACCCAAAAGAACGAGGCTGTGCTCACATAGCGGGCCACATTGCCTCCTGCAGCACAACTAAAGCCAAGAGCATCAAGGTTGAAAGTAAAAACTGAGGCAAAGTTCAGGATATCTCGCAAGCCATCTGGCCACTGAACAGCGACTGTGTTCAAAACACCCAAATTCTGGAATAAGGCCACTAGCATTCCCAAGGCTGCGGTGGTGGACATCATCACACTGGCCTTCGCTGTATAGCTCGATGTTAGCATATAGTAAGAGCCACAGACTCCAACCACGACCATTGTCACGGAGAAAGCCCATGCAGCTGGCACAGCTCCACAGGGTTCGCATTTGTTGGAAGCCCAATAATGCCCATCAGCGCAGTCACCACAAGTCAAACCTTCACGGTCTCCGAAGCAAACACCTGGAGAACCACCGGGACAATAGAGCTCCGCAGCGCATTTGTAAGTGTCAAGAGGTGCTTCTGGATTGCCTTTCTTTGATCTGTACACTCAAACTGGAAAACATCCGAAAACAAACAAATACCTCAAGCAACACCTCGGAGCCAAGACTGATACAACTTGTCTGGTGAGTATGCTATGTTACAAGGATCAAAATTTGCTCAAGCACATCTAACTCACTGAAGAAGCCCCTCTTCACGTAGGGACCCTTCAAGTCCGTGGTTCCGGAAGCTGCTTCTAGCTTTGCAATAGTGCTTCCTTTTGGACAATGCATGCTTTCCTCATTGCAATCCATGCAAGTGGAATCCTGCTCGATTTTCCCCGCCTGGCACACACAATCTGCGAGAGATGATGCACCCAACAACAGGGTCGTTCGGGAAGCACCACAAGAGATGCACGAGGTCTGAGCTGTATCTGGTTGATAGTCTCCTTCATCGCATGGAGTGCACGTTGTGCTCCCAAAACTGCTGGCTGAAGTGCCCTTTGGACACGGCTCACATTGGGTGGAGTAAGTGTTTGATTGACTGTAGCCAGGAGGGCATTGTTTGCATTGGAAGGTCCTTCCCTCATCATCAATGAGCTCCTCAGATGCAGTTCCTGCCTGGCACAGGCCGCATCCAACGGCCAGTGTCCTGTTGGGGACAAAAGCTCCGGAGGCGTCAACCAATCCAAAGCCTTCGTAGCAGCTGGTCAACTTTGGTTTCCAGGCCGACCACCTGGTTCCAGGGAAAGCCAAAGAAACCAGCTTAAACATCTTAAACGGCAGTCGTTTCATTGTCATTCAGCATGACGTTTCCTCAACTCCTCAACTCTGCATGTCGTCTCAAGTTTAGATGTGCGAAGGTTGAACCAAAAAAATCTGTGCAAACCCCGTGAAATGAACCCATCTGCCGTGTGTTCATGAATTCAATATTAGACTTATTAGACCATATGATATGCCATATGTTCGATCTTTAGTACCCTAAAACCAGGTCACTCAGGTTCTAGTTCTAGGTGTGTTCGACGGCTGTCGCTAACATGTGTTGGGGATAGGATCTGACCTGTGCTTGTGCCCACAGCTTGGCCCAAGCGATTTGCTTTTGCTGCGCGAAAAGGCTGCGCCCGCTGGCGCATTTCGACTCGGCGCGCGACAGCGCGCGAGCTACCACTTGCTACTCCGCATTGGTAGCGGAGCGGTTCCGTCCCACGGACCGCTCAGGGCCATGGCGGATGGCCCGGAGGTGCCAGACTGGAACACCTCCGAGGATGATGGCGAAGCTCGCCCATCCCACTCCGATGGCGGCGACCATCGAGCCTCGAGCCGAGGCCGGACCCAGAGCAGAGCTCGCAGGGGATCCGATGAGGCAGCGCCTCCCAAGGGCAAAGACAAGGGCAAAGACAAAGGCAAGCGTGACAAGGGCGGCTCTAGCAGCAAAGGTGGTTCCCGGAAGGGCAAGTCCAAAGGACGGTCGGCATCCAGGAAGGGCGATGAACGCCAGCAGAAAGGTAAGAAGGGGAAGAACTCCTGGAACTATGAGCCGACGGAGCACCAGGGCAAAGGTAAGCACAAGGAGATGGACATGCAAGACATGATCAACCAGGCCGTGCAGAATGCCCTCAGTGTTCAACAGCAGCAGTTCATGGCACAGCAGCAACAGCTACAGGCCCAGCAATGGCAACAACAGATGCAGTTTCAGCCTATGCACCCAACTCTGGAAGGCTGGTACGGGCAACCGGATGGCAGCTGGAAGTACTGGAGTGGCCAAGCGTGGACGCTGGGACCAGCTACCCCATGTGTGTCCCGAACTGCAAAGCCGGCTGAGCCGCAAGGTCCTCCGCCGAAGGCGGCAGCTGCACCGCAGGCAAAAGCCAATCCGGGTGGTGGAGGTTCCGGCGGGACTTCATCAACGCCGGTACCAAAGGTACAACCAAAGAAGAAGCAGAGGGTGAATCCACCACCGCCAGGAGACAGCAATGAGTCAGGCGACTATGACTCCTCCTATGGTGAAGAAGAGGAGGAGGAGGAAGCCGAGGTTGGCCCTGAAGAATCGAGGCCAACGAATGACCCAATCGTTGAGCCTAGTGAGAGAGGTGCTTCAGTGCTCGGAGCAGCCGCCAAGGGTAAGGCGAAGGCCAAACAGAGGCCACGGCAGCAGGAGCAGGGTGAGGTGAGACCAGCTGCAGTTGCAAGGCCAGACCCGAAGCCCAAGGCGCGGCGACGCCGTGGTGGAAGGGCAGCGTCGGAAGGCTCTGAGAAGAGTTCGGCTGCCCGGACCTCAGAGATCCTGGAGATGCTCCTCCAGAAGGAGCGGAGGCCCTAAGATCGCTCCAAGCCTTCGCTGTCCCAGGTGCGCATCGAGACCTTCAGGGGAAGCCGATCGCACTACCGCGACTGGAAGCGTATCATAGAGGCCCAGAGGAATCTCTACAAGTTGGAGGATGCGGAATTGGCCATGCTCATTTATCTCAGTTGCCAGGGAGAGCCGCGCCAAATCCTGAATCAACTTGAAGTTAGCGAGATGCAAGAGCCTGGAGGCTTAGGCCGGATCATGCGGCTCCTTGAGGAGTCCTTCGGCGCCAGAGCCGAGGAACGCTTCGAACAGAAGCAGGAGGAGTATCTGGCATACAGGAGGGCACCTGGCCAGAGCATCGCGGCCTACATCTCGACCTTGAAGAGGCTTCGAGGTGAATACCTCAAGGAGGACACGGAGACCACGATCTCCGACAAGTCCTTTGCCCAGAGGCTCCTGTCTCGGGCGGCTTTGACACGCCGCGAGAGGATGGACATCTTCTTCTCCAGCGGTGGCAAGTACAACAGCAGCAAGATCGAGCAGGTGATGAGGTTTCGCTGCAGCAACCTGCACACGGAGGAGAAGAAGACATCCACAGGGGACAGAAGCAGCTACAGGATCTTGGATGAGAAGGGCCGCACCCCTATTCCACGGAAGAAGCAATTCCAACCTCGGCGAGGTGGAGATCGGAAGCCCTACAGGTCCAGTCAGCACTCATCCCATCTGGCAGAGCCAGTCGAGCCCAATACGCAAGATGAACCCTATTCCTACGAGGAAGAAGAGGACGACGCGGATGAGGAGGACCTGGAGCAGGAAGCTCTCTGGCAGGAAGAGGAGCAGGATGATGAGGGGCACTTCTCAGTGGAAGAAGATGAAGAAGAGGATCTGGCTGACGTGGATGATCTGAAGGAAGCTTATGCCTCCGGATGGAGAGCGAAGCAGAAGTCAGCAGATCAGCGCAAGGCCCGAGGCTACCACTCGAGCAAAAGGCCTAGGATCCACGCTTCATGGATCGTACAGGCCATGACTGCGGCAGCTGCCAGTGGACCGGACAATGAGTGGGTCTCCAGGCAGGAGCTCGAGACTTTGAAGAAATTGACTGGTCTGCCCCTGAGCGCGGCGCGCATACATAGGAAGCCCCGGAAGAGGCTGATGAGGCCGCCAAGGGCCATTAGCAGGCCCCGACTCTCTATCCTCATTGGGGAGGACCCACGGACGCTTTCGTGGTGGACGAAGACGAGAGGGAGGTGGCAGCCATGCCCAAGAGGAAGGTGGCTTTCTACTGGAAGGGGATGACTATGCTGTACAAGAGGCGTGGACGGAAGCCTCAAGCCACATATGTGCAGCTGCCCACAGGTGTCTACAAGGCATGTCTGGGACCAAAGGACAGGCGAGAGTTTGAACAGTTGTGGTTGGAGGAGCTGAAGGATGTGCTGGTGAACGAAGTGATGCTCCTCAAACTGAAACAAAATGGGAAAGAGCTCGACCCGCGATGGTTCAATGAGCAGGAGAAGAAAGCCTTCGACCTCAGTGATGCGAAAGAATGGGAACAGTGGTTGAACAATGAGGTCGTACAGAAGGTGCTACCGGCAGAGCTCAAGAAGGTGCCAAGGCACCAGGTCTTCAAGGCCCCACTTCGGATGGTTCGCACGAACAAGGCGGCAGCAGCGACTCTGCCTTTGGTGGCCAAGTCACGGCTTGTGGCGCGGGGCCACCGCGACCCAGATTTGGGTGGCTTTCGCACTGATGCTCCAACAGTAGGAGCCACAGCCACCAAAATCGCCAAGACAATCGCTCAGGCGAGAGGATGGGTGCTTTGGTCTTTCGATGTCACAACGGCATTTTTGAGTGGTGAGCGCACCGATCGAGAGATATACGTCAAGGCACCACCAGAAGGTCTTCCAAAGACCAAGCAGATGGAGGCGGTGACAGGGGGACAGCTCTTCCGTGTTTTGAAGTCGGCATATGGCCTGACGGAAGCACCACGTTTGTGGTACCTCAAAGCCTGCAAGCTGCTGGCTGAGACCCCTCTGAAGGAGCTGGACATCGCCAAAGCCACGTTCGCCGCATGGGATGGAAATGGTACATGGGCCATCTTGTGTTTGCACGTGGACGATGGGCTATTGATGGGATCAGCTACGGATCCAAGGTTTACAGCCCTCAAGGTACAGATCAACAGCCTTTTCAACATCAAGGCATGGCAGAGCCTGCCACTTACGTTCCTGGGGGTGGACTTGCAGAGGAGTGGTAGCATCCTCGTGGACTCCATGAAGAAGTACGTGGAGGAGATCCGCCTGCCAGAGATGTCAAAGGAGAGCCCTGAGAAGATCCTGGACGCTGCTGGCCTGACTAAGTTCCGGCAGTTGGTTATGAGGCTCAGGTGGCCGGCGCAGCAGGTGATGCCTCACCTGCTCTACGAGATCAGCCGTTTGGCACAGCGAGTGTCAGGAGCCACCCACGGCGACTACCAGGACGCCGTGAAGGTCCACAAGCTCATGATCCAGGAGAAGGACGCTGGGCGAGCCGCCCTCAGGTATCCGAAGATCCCTGGAGAGCTTTGCCTGGTGACGTTCTTCGACGCGTCACTGGGAAAGGAGAAGGACGGCAAGTCCCAGCTGGGACAGATCCACTTCATCACCAATACTGGTGTGGAGCATCGACCTCAGCCGGGGGCAGTGATCGACTTTGCAAGCTCCAAGTCGACCCGCGTGGTCCGCTCGTCCATGGCGGCCGAGGCGGCATCGATGTCACAAGCCATTGACCGGCACCTCTATGCTCGGCTGCTGATCCAGATGCTGCAGCACGGCAGCTTCAAGCTGAGCGAGGACTGGCGCAAGGACCTGACGGTCCAAGGCTACATGGTGACAGATGCCCGGTCACTTTATGACCACCTTAGAACCACCGGCCAGGTGCCGTCCGAACGGCAGACAATGCTTGACCTGATGGTCACGCGAGAGATGCTGGAGGCGAGCACCTTTCACCTGAAGTGGGTGCCGACCTACCGGCAATATGCTGATGGGCTGACAAAGCGGATGGTGAATCCGCTATGGAATGAGTTCTCCGAGAAGGGGGTGCTTTCCCTCAAGGAGACAGCACAAGAGGCCAAGACGGAGGAGCGTCGACGCGAACTCCGCAGAGCCCAACGCGACAGGCGCAAAATGCGCTTTGCAGCTGGCCGCGCCAGTTCAAGCCCACAGGTCAACACTTCCTTTTCGGGATGTGTTCGACGGCTGTCGCTAACATGTGTTGGGGATAGGATCTGACCTGTGCTTGTGCCCACAGCTTGGCCCAAGCGATTTGCTTTTGCTGCGCGAAAAGGCTGCGCCCGCTGGCGCATTTCGACTCGGCGCGCGACAGCGCGCGCGAGCTACCACTTGCTACTCCGCACTAGGTTGCAACATCTACCCAACAACAATTGGCCAGCTCTAGAAGCCGGAGAAACCATCAGCCCAGGCGGCTCCCAGCCGCTCCCGCTCGCCTGGCTCGATTGTCTTGCATCCACTTGCAAGAAACATTGAGGGCTGACCCCGACTCCTTGTACTCCAAAAGAAGATTTTGGATTTCTGGTAGCTCGAAATTCATGTTGGAGACGAACCTCAGAGCATGGGTTCAAGACATACGTACGTGTCTCTCAGACAGTCTGGGATCCATAATATTCATACTCATGAAACTTTCTCAAGAGATGCGACAACAACAACAACAGCGGAGAATTCAATAGGACAAACGCAAATCCGGTGGGTTCACAGGCCAAACCGAAGCAAGTGGGAGAACATGTTTGAGACCTAAGAAGGAACTCCCAACTGGACCTCCTTGCTGTCAGAATTGCTTCAAGTTCTAGCATAACTTGTAAAAAATGGCTGACATCGAAAACATTGCCAAGCAAAAACTCACTGCAAAGAAACTCTCGCACTCTGCCAGCCTTGGACCGTAAGTTGTTGCTCACCATCTTGGACACATAGCTTCCAAGGCCTCCGGTCTTCTTGTCTCCAGCGAGCCATTCGTTGGCACTGTGCCGGGCAAAAATCAACTGCTCGGGCAACATGTCGATGAAGGTCGAATCTGGAACCCACCAGTAGTGAAGAGCTCGGAAAGTCTGCACGTGCTTCACGAACAAAGACCACCCACCCGAGACTGCAATGGCAGCTGGAATTCCATATGCAGTTGACCACTGCATCATGGCCTGCACCTTCCAACCGGTCCCGGCCGTGAAGACAGGGATACATGCTGAGGAATTGTGACGACATGCGGGAGCAAACCACCAGCGGTTGTTTGCATCACACTTAGCAGCAAATGAACCGTCTGTTTGGTTTACAACCCCGTCATAGTCACCTGAATATCGGGCATAGTCTCCCATTCGACTCGGATTGCTCATATCCGTCTCATTGCACTTGGCCAATTCTGACAGGTCCACACCATGAATGGAGTCGAAGTATTTCCTAGGTGCGGTGTTCGAGTAGGAGACAATATGAGACAATATATAGCAGCTCGACCCCTTGGGAAGTTTAGGACAGTTTATTCAAAACCCATGTTACCAGAAGGTCAAGGTGGCAGAAGAGTTCTCGCTTCGCTTTTGGAGATCGGCGAAATCAGTCAACAACTGAGAGGAGGCTAGCACTCAGAAGCTGTTCAGCCCAGCTTCTTCGGATCATGATGCGTCGTGTTGTAGCCTCAAACGGTCAAACAGGATGAAACAGGGTCAAACTCGGCAAATCAAAATGAACAGGTCTGGACAATGAATATAAAATCATGCGTGTGGCATACGCGTGCGCTTTGAGACCCCCGAAAGACTTTGGAAAAAGGACGAGTCAACAAAGTCTAAGTCAACTAACAAATCAACTAAGCACGTCGCAACAAGTTCTATTCAAACCCCAACAAACCCCAACAACATCCAACAACCAAGCTTTAAAGATAAAAGCACTGTTAAACGACCGTTCAGTAGCTCTTGTAGAAATCCAGGGCGAGACCCGATTCGCTGTAGGCAGCTTGGAGAATCGCTCGGCTTACATACATGGATTCTTCTCCTGCATACCCCATGCTTCCTAAATCCTCCGCCGCAAGTCTTGGATACTCCTTGGCGAACTGATTCTGAGTGGAAGCATAGCTTCCAATCCAAGAGTCCACGCTCACATGGATCGTCGTTTCTTGGACGCCGCAGACCCTGTTGTCTTTGTCGTTGAAGTCGGTACATCCTGCCAAAGCGAAGACTGGAGAAGCTCCATTCCCACCCACTGTAGGATCGACCTCAGCATGGAAACCAAGCACCTCGCGGATCATCAGCGCTGTCATCTGGCTGAGAAGAGCGGACGATGCCCAAGCCATTTCGAACACTCCGATGTGAATGTTGTTGCCGGCATCATCCTGAAGGCAGCACACACAATCCATTGCATGAACAGCCATGGGTTTCCAAGCAAACGGCGCATTTCTATGTTAGCTTCCGTGTTAGCTTCCTGATGCTTTATGCATGATGCTTTATCCAACCCCCTGTTCCTGGATGTACTCTCGCTGGCTTTCTGGCACGCCGTCATTGAGACAAAGTTCTGAGCCCCAGCCCACCATCATGCCGAGAAGCACCACTGCCAAGCGCAGCATTGCTCCCCACAGCTTCGAAAGCGGAGGTT